CTCTCCTGTCTCACCCGCTGCACCCCTCAGCAGTGCATTTTGTCAGTCGGCCTGTTCTGCTCCCCACTCTGTCTCTGTTGAATCCTCTCACTGCTTCTGCACTTCGGCCCTGTACTCCAGTTCTGCATGCATAAATAAATCTTTAAAATAAAAACAGACCTAAATACTACAATGAATCCAATTTTATATATTAATCATACAGCAATTATACATTAGGTAAAATTCATCATGTGTAGTTCCAAACTTTTGCAAATCCTAATTTCATTTCCATAACTACCATAGGAGCCAGGGGCTGTTATGGATCCATTTCACAAATGTGTGAATAGAGAGGTAAGCAATGGGCACTCAAAAACACATAGCCAGCAGAACAGGATCTGGACCTGGCAGGCTGACTCCAGGGCCTCCGTCCTCACCCACAGTGCTAGGATAACCTGGGAGTGTCCTCACTTCCAGCACCCGCCACCCCCTATGTGCTTGACTTCCCCCTGCCAGCTCCTGAGGACTCTGAGGCTCAAAGAAGTGACTTGTAAGAGCACTTCACTGCCTCTCTCAAAATCCAAGCTCTTACTAAACAGTCTGGCTACAAAGAACATGGCACGGTTTGTTCTCTTTGAACAAATGATTGTGTCAGGTACTGTTCTAAGTTCTGTTTATTACCAAAGAAACTGTAGGAGTGGGAAAAAATTTCGACTTTGGTATCTCTTAAAATTCATTAAAAAAATCAAAATCTTACTGTAATTTGTGTTTCAGATAGGGTAGATGGGAAAATGCTAAGCAACTCGTTTTCTGGTTTTTAGAGCCTAGATAATTGGTTACTTTCTGTATGGGAGAGAGCAGAGGGCAAGATGAGGATGAAAATATGTGAATCCATCTCAGCTCAGAGCTTGAGTTTGAGATTCCACTGCCACTGTCCTCACATTCTCTTGTCCCTGGCTATGACCAAGTTTATGGCTATATGACCTCCAGTGATCCCTGTAATCTTTTTTTTTTTATTTTAAAGACTTATTTATTCATACAGAACTGGGGTACAGGCCAGAGGTGCAGGGGGTGAGAGGATTCCCCAGAGACAGTGGGGAGTAGAACAGGCAGATGGATGAAGTACACTGCTGAGGGGAGCAGCGGGTGGGTCAGGAGAGGTCTGCTGAGCCATGTGGTCACCTCCAGGGCAGGCAGGGATCGAACTCATGCGGTAGTGGCTTAAGCTTCTTAGTGCTGTGCTTTAACCTGCTGCGCCACCAGGGAGGGCCTGATCCCTGTAATCTTTAAAAAAAAAAATTTACTTATGCATTCAGAACTGGGGTACAGGCCAGATGTGCAGGGGTGATGAGAGGATCCACCAGAGACAGAGTGGGGAGCACAACAGGCAGGTCCACTGAAATACACTGCTGAGAGGAGCAGTGGGCGAGACAGGAGAGGTCTGCTGTGCCGTGTGGGTCAGCTCCCTGGCCAGGGGATCAAACTCATGCTGCACTGGCTCTGGATAGCTTCGTAGTGCTGTGCTTCAACCCCCAGTCAGGGAGACCTCCCCCCCCCAATGGGCTATAATCTTGAGGGAGCTGTTTATTATGTGGCCAACCTCTGAGCCGTAAGGGGTACAGCCAGTGTGGCTTCTCCTAGCAGCTGATGGGTCACTTTTCCAGGATCTTCCAGGAAAGGGAACAGGATAGCTGGCAGCAGGGGAAGCTGGAGACATTGAGGGGGGTGGTGGGTGCTAGAAGTGACAGCCACTCCCAGGTCATGAGCTCTGAGAGCAGAATTCATGCCTGTGTGGAGTGTTAGCTATAGAGATTGTAGCCACAGCTGAATTGGGCTGCAGAATTGCCGGGGGAGGCACCACAGTTAGAGCTACTGAGACAGCCACCTCTCTGGACAATGTGGGAGAAGGGTTAGGAGACTACAAGAGGGTCACGGGCAAAAGGGTGAATGAGCATGTGACCAAGTGCTTCAGACCCAGTTCAGGGGAGACCCCAGACCAGGCTGCACCAGCAGTTCCCCACTGTCTCTTCTCAAACTTGCCACAACCCCAGTGTCGGCCTCTTGGAATTGGGGAAACATTACAGCAGCTGCTGGTTTAAGGACCCGGTATTCTCTCCAATGCAAACCCCCACCTGCACTGTCCTCTGGTTAGAGTTGTGTGAAGTGAAAGACAATTTGGACTTTATTAGTGTCCCAAGGAGACATGAAACTTGTGTAGCTGGAACCCAAACAGCAAGAGTCTTAGTGGCAATCTCCAGCCGAGAAAAGACTGGCATTGTCTCACCTAATTACAGGGAAGGGCCCTCTTCATGTTTGTGATTCAGTACGCTTGTCTGATCGCTTTTGATCGCTCTTCTCCACTTGCTGGCTCAGGTCATGCTGGAATTGTGCTAATTAGAAGAGAAGTGGACAGAGTGATCTTGTCAGCCGTGGTTACTGGTGGGGACAAAGGAGAACATTATTCTGAGGCAACATTTTGTGAGAGCCCTCCTTCCTGCTCTCATTAGGAGGAAGGGGGCCTACAGGAGGGGATGGTTCAGCTAATGGGCATTAGTGTGTGACCCAGCTAATGGAGCATTGGGATGTCCGTGTGCTAATTATCAACAGACTCTGTGCTCTTGCGCCAACCAGAAGCCTCATGCTTACACCTGCTACCTGAAACCCTAACTGTCCCTGCTCATGAAGTCAAAGTGTTGGGCAAAAGGATAGAGGCCAGTGATCTCTTTAGGCAGTCAGGGACACATTGCCGAAGTGCCAAAAAGTCCAGATAGAGAAAGTCAGTTTCAGGCCTGGGAGAATTTACAAGCTTGGACAGCCCATTCTTTGTCTTCTCTGGAGGTGGGGGTTGCAAGGTCCTCTGTGAAATGAAGTCTGTGCAAAACTTGTACAGGAGTGGAGGGCAGGTAATTTCCTCATTTCTTATTCTGGCCATTTATCTTGTGTGCCTTAATCCTGGGGGAAAAGACCAGAATATTCCATGAAAAATGACCTCACTACATAGCTCCTCCTGAAGCTCAAATACCCTTTGGAAGTCATAGGGCTACAGAATGACTTTTACTAGTTGTTTGTTCTGCCCTCATTTGGAGAAGTCCAGACGAGACAGGAGCTAAATTCAGCAGCAGGTTGAGAACCCAAAAAAAGGAGCAGTTAGCAAGTGTTCATTAAAAAAAAAAAAAAAAAGACAATAAATGGAGGCGCAACGGGTTAGAGCACAGCACTGCAAGCTGGCCACAGCCGCCTCAGTGTGAGCTCGAGCCCGGAAGATCCACGTGGTGCAGCAGCCCTCTCCTGACCTGCCCGCTGCTCCTCTCAGCAGTGTACTTCATCGATCTGCCTGTTCTGCTCCTCACTCTGTCTCTGGTGAAACCTCTCACCCCCACACCTCTGGCCTGTACCCCAGTTCTGTATGCGTAAGTAAATCTTAAAAAAAAAAAAATCTAGCATGGAGAATGATAATCAATAAAAAAAACGATAAATGGGTAACAAAAAAATAAAATTAATGACGGCATTTTGATAACAGTGCAATTAATATCCTGTGAACTTCTGGGCTTCTGGGGCTCTAATAATGGACGGAAAGTCAACCTAAATCCCCAGAGACAAGAAGAGAACAAGAAGCAACAAGATTGCTGGAGAGACAAGATTTGAATAAAAAGCTGAAAATGTGTCTCCAAGCAACACCATGCTTCTTAGGACAGTGCTGTGCAAGCCAACCTGTGTTACAAGGATGGTATTCAGAAAGGCAGATGGAAAGGGAAAACAAATCAATAGGCAAATAATAAATAACTAAAAATAATCTGTGGAGATTTAGAGCGGAACATTCATAACATTGTCCCTGTTCAGTCAGCCAGCTGTGCTTTTCTAGATCACGGAAATCTACTGTTCACTTGAATGTTTTGCTAGAATCAAATATGGGCCCTCTCTGGTGGCAAAAGTTTAAAGTGCAGTAATATGAAGCTGCCCACAGCCACTGCAGCACGAGTTTGATCTGCCTCCTGCGCCCCTCAGCAGTGTACTTCAGTACATCTGCCTGTTCTGCTCCCCACTCTGTCTCTGGTGAATCCTCTGGCCTGTACCCCAGTTCTTGTCTGCATAAATAAATAAATCTAAAAAAAAAAAATCAAAGATGAGTCAATAATGGTAAGCAAATGCTTCCCTTAATATGGAATGGGTTCTCTGAAGAGCCCTTTTCTCTAAAACGCCATGTGCAGGGCTATAGAAAGTCAACTACTGAGGAGTGGGAGTAGCAGTACTGATGAATACTTCCACTTCTCTAGTTCTTGACCAAAGGTGAAAAGACACTCCCATTATGAGTTTTAGTAGGTAGCAGAGAACTACTTGTTTTCAATCATCATATTTAAGTAGGTCCTGCAGATAGATTGTGAACTCCCCCATCGAAGAAGACACTGAAGAACAACTAGATGTGTAGACGGCAACCATACCTCGAGGCTCTTATAACTAGGACGGCAGTTAGGCATGTACGTGTGTCACCTAAAGATAAGGTGGGAGTCCTCAGGAAGGGAGAAGTGTTGCAGGAGTCAGGAGGATTATTTGCACCCTGATCATCAGGAGTTTAGAAGAGTAAGTTTCATATGTGCAAACGGGATGCAAGATTTTCTAGGAACACAAGGGCATGAGCAAAGATACTCAAATGTTGAGAAACAATTGTTCAGATGAACCAGAACATTTCATATGTTGGAGAGGAAGGAAACCAGAATGGAGGGTTGGTTATGAGGCAAGTCGAATTTTTAACACCAAGCTGAAAGTTCCAGATTTCCTTAATAAACATAGTGAAGTTTACAGGCTTTAACTGTACTTTAGGTTGAACAGTCATGAGCTGATGGCCGGCAGGAGAGACTGGCGCCTGGGAGACCGAGGAGCACCATAAAGCCGCCCGTGACCTCCTGTGACTTTAAGGGGAAGATGCCGGTTTTTTGTGGTAACAGTTGTGCTCTCTGACGAGATCTGTGCTTTAAATATGCAACTTGGTCCTTTGAGGAAAAACTCACTCTCCTATAAAAGGGACATTATTTATTATGACGACACAGAAACCATCATATACAAAGCACAATCCTCTAACACCCTGAAATACATACACACACACACATTGTACATAAATTCATATTATCAATATAAAAATACATCATTAACATTTCTAAGGACGACAAATACAAACCCAATAAATAGCACAATTCTAAAACATCTACTTACATTAAGTGCTGGTGAGTAAGATGACAGTAAAAGAAAGAGGTCAAAGCAGACCAGAAAACCAACTATGTAGCTTCAGGTTACAAACTTCATTCAGTTGGTTTTGGAGAGGTATCTCAATAATCTCCATATATCTTTCAATTTCCCCAAGAATTTAAAAGTGCCTGATGTCATCAACTCTCAAAAACAAGCAAAGGAAGAATCTGACACGGCACTCCTTTTGCCCTTCCCTATCACCATTCTCTCTCTCTCTCTCTCTCTCTCTCTCTCTCTCTCTCTCTCTCTCACACACACACAGTCTATCACTCTTCAACCGCATTTAGACATTAAAGAATGTTAATAATAAGCTTAACTTAATATCAAAGCCTCGACAACCCAAGTAGAATGTTTTCCATCTCCTACTCATCCTGTGTGTCTTGTATTTAATTCTCCCCGTGCCCTTTTCAATAAACAAAACTGCAGGGGGTCAAATGGCACAAATGCAAGAAAACGCTCAGCGTTCCACCTATTAAGTTGTGCAGTTATGTGTGCACAGACACACAGGACCAAACACTTGACCATAACTTCCCTTGCATCCAAACACCTTCACATGACTGTCACAGGAATGTTCTTTTCATGAAGTTTAGGAACTTCATGAAACGGAGTTCATGTACTTTTAAAAAATATTAAGAGGCTGGAGGCTGGCTTATAAGACAATCTAGAAAACAGGCATAATCAATTTTACCCTTGAGCTAGATTCTCAGGTTTTAATATAGAGATAGGTAAGTGATAAAGAGCTCCAAAGGACGTGTACAGAAGTCAGGAAATACTCTTGTGTGTGTGTGTGTGTTAGAATGGTGCAATATCTGACATGAGCTGTCAGAGGGGACACGGGAGATGAAAACATTGCCACTATCCCATAGCACATCCCTTCAAGGTCAACTAGAGTTTCTAGGCAAATGGAAACTCCTGTAGACAGTTCCATTCTACGTTTCAGGCCATAGTGACATTTCTTTTCCTAATAACAGATTAGTTAGAATTCAAAAGTCCTTCCTGTCACCTTTATATTGTTTTTTAGGGAACTTTCACTACATAAGCTAATCCCTGGAGGGGCTCAATAAACAGGGACTCTGTCCTGGAGTCAGAACTAACAGGAAGGGCTCTGGAAGATGGAGAATGCAGGAGACGAGGAGGATGGGACTATCGTAAGAGGTGAAGAAATGTAAAAGTGGTATGTATGTCAAAAAGATTCTGGTTTCTCCAGCTGGGGATTCTTGGAACCTAGTATACCTGGAGAGGTTATAGGACAGGGTGCATGGCCTGGTTCAGAATCTTAATTGGTCTCTGGTCTCCTTGCATCACAAATACTTCCTACGATATCAAGTACAACTCAAAAGAACCATCCAATCGACATGCCACAGCTGACCTGGCCATCCCTCAGTCATATCGACTGTAAGGCTCTGGCGCTCCTGAATCATTTCTGGACGTGACCTTTAAGGATGATAAGCCCTCTGGTGGTACAACATCAGAGGCTGAGCCCATCAAAGTCTAGACGCTGATGGAGTGACTGCGCTGATCCTTGGGGAGAGCAGCTTCTTCTCCAGCTGCCGAATGTCCTCAGAGGCGCAGAGTGCCAGGAGCAGGGGAGAGGGTCAGTCCTGGAGGCGCGTCCTCTGGCCTCTCTCAGGAAGCAATGATGTGTGCAGAGGCAGAGCTGCGCCTGGAGGGGCGCGTGGATCCAGACTCCAGGACGTCCTGTCCACCTGCGGCTGCTACTTCTTGGGTTTCTCCAGAATGTTGAGGAATTTCCCCCGTGTCATCTCTCTAGCTGGAATCACAAAGCAAAAGAAAGATCAGTGAAGACCTACTTTTTGAAAACATAATCATTGGAAGATTTAATTTTAAAATGCAGATTAAAATAAAAAGCAGTCAGAGTCAGAAAACATTAATCTTAAAAATTAATAAAAATGAAGATTGATTTAAATTGTATATAAGGTTGTTACCATCATGGATTCAATTACCAATAACCTCCAAAAAGGGGGAGAAACCAGCCCCAACTGACACTAAAACTGTACAAAGCTATTCTGAAGTTTGCAGTTGCTATAAGGCTCAAACCAGCTGGGGTCTAAGACTTTATCATCCACCCTTGAAAGAAAATCAACAGGGAATTCCCCAAAAACCCATCTCTCTCTCAAGAACGTAACCTAATACTCAAATTCACTATCTTTTGCTCTTGGAGGATAAAAATCTAACCAAGATTAGAGTCTTCTCTAGGTTGTTGGTCTCTGGACATCCATAATCTCAAATCACAGTCAGAGATCATTTGCCCCATTTCTCAGTGGTGGTGGTCCCGGGATGCTGTGACAGAACAGGGTTTATATTCCCTCAGTGCGGTTTGTCTGTGGATGGTGTAATAAAGCGGAGTTTATGGGGCTCTGGTCCTCTCTCTCTCGGCATTGTCAGTCCTTAGATATTTAATATAGCCAGGCAAGGTTTATGTGTCTTTCCCTGACTTTCAGCACCATCAATCTTTGAATGCTGTAGTTACAAGAGGGTTTATACAGCTACTTTTCTATATATGAGGCTCCAAAATGAAAGTAAAACATTTCTCAATTACAAGGGCCACTCCAGAAACCCTGGCTGAGCTCTGTCAAGCAAATTCTTCAGTCATATAGAGTTCTATACCCCCTTCGTGCTCATCTCCGCAAGTTCATCTTTTCAGATCTCTCAAATGGATTTACCAGTGTTTTAAGTTTCTATGGTGGTCCTGTTCTGGGACCATGTGGTGGTGCCGGGGCACAGGAAAGGCTGCTCCCCACGGCACCTCATAAGCCAAAGGGAGGTGGCTTGGGAGGCACCAGCAGCGATGAGAAGGCCTTTGCTCTCGCTAAGACCTTTGCTCTCTCATGCGCTCCCAAGTCCAGAGCAGATGGTGCGAGGTGAGTGAGCTCCCACTTCCCTCCTCACACCACCTAAGTATAATAGTACCTGGCTCACCTGTATAACAAAGAAATAAAGCAGTATAAACGCTAACCACAGGAAGGCTTTTGGTAACTGTATGGTTATACAGTCCCACTTTTCCCAAGTTCCTGAGCTCCAACAATGGGAAAGGAAATCTCATTAACGTGGTATGAAAGCCCCAGTCCAGGTTCTCCCTCACGTACCTACAGCCCTGTCTTGGCCCAAATCAAATGACGATTCCTTCCTGGGTAGATTTACACCAAACCCTATTATACAAGGTTTTCATAGGACTCGTAATTATTATTTTTTTTAAAGAAGACTTATTTATGCATACAAGAACTGAGGTACAGGCCAGTGGTACAGGAGGGTGGGAGTGAGGGGTGGGGAGGTAGTGGGTGGTAAGAGGATTCACCAGAGTGGGGAACAAACAGGCGGACTAACTGAAACACAATGCTGAGGGGAGCAGTGGGCGAGACAGGAGAGGTCTGCTGGGCCATGTGGGTCAGCTCCCTGGCGGGGAATTGAACAGTACAGTAGGTGCTGACAGCTTCACAGTGTTGCACTTTAACATGCTGTGCCACCAGGGAGGGCCCAAGACTTGTAATTACGTTTTGATATGCATGCGTCCTCTACTGAAGTGTGATAACTAAGGGCAGATGTTGTGTTTTATTATTCTTTGTATCACCAGCACCAAGCATAGTATCTAGTAAGTAAACGTTAGTTGGATAAATAATAACATACAGATGAAACAGAATCAAGCAGAAACATGATAAAGTTCAAGCTCTTTCCTTCCACATGTGGCCGTTGGTGCTCTATTTTCTACTTTATGGGATTCTTTTTAAATCTGTCTTGTGTTTTTGATGGAAGTAATGTCAGAGTAACGGAGAGCTCAGTGGGTAAGGACTAAATACCCTGCAGGAATCCAGGCAAGACATTCTTGCCCATGGGAGGCATCACGGACTTCTTTCCGAGAACACAGGATTTGAACTCAATTTAAAGTTCCAGTTCTAACCCTGAGCAGCTGGGACACCTTGGACTGGGTATGGCCTGAGTCTTAGTTTATTCATCTGTAAAATGAGTGACATGTTAATGCCACCTGCCCTGCTTTGCTCTGGGTGATTCAGCAGAGAACATGCTTGGTTTAGCAGGAATCACCAAGACCTTCCAGGGGGCAGGAAGTAGTCAGATTCTTCTTCTTCAACTCAGTTTTTGCTGAGCGAATGAATGGATGTGATAAGAAGGGAAGTTAGCAATGTCAGAAACTCCACTCCTTGTAGTCTTTTTCCTTAGCCTGATCCTACAGAAATTTATTTACACTTTTGGTTAGACTGGGTCACATCATTTATTTCTGCTAGATGGGTTATCCACTGGATGGTCTCGCGTCTAGAGCTTATGACGGACTTTAAACACAGTATCAAATGATTCTTCAAATCAGACAGAAGCGGATACTCTAGAAACCAGACATGGGCGATATAAAATTCTGCTGGGTAGAACAGAGCCTGGTTCCAACAACACAAACTGTACTGGTCTTACTAATTATTTCTGCTTGCTGCCCTTCATATGCCCCAATTCTTACTATTTATTTTCCCTAAAGGACAGAGTAACCAATATTTTAAGATCTAAAACACAAAAAGATCCAATCTATTCAAGGCATCAAAAGGATTTAAAAGGAAAATAAATGGATATTCTAAAGTCTCTCAGTGGCAAGCTCTCCTTGAATTTAACCAATCCTTTTTAACAACCCCCTTTCCATTCAATCATTCCTCCCCTTCAACCTAATCTAAGTACACAGAGCTGCAAGAAACCACTGTAAAAGTAGAAGTAATTCAAAAGACATCATCTTCTACGTGGGAGGGGAGAAAGTTTTCCTACTTGCCAGTCCCATATAGGAGATATACGAATTCGTGACATAGCTGCTCCCTAAAAGAGGGCTGTGCCCTATAAATCACATCCGAAGCACCAACCCCTTTTTGTGCACAGAGAAATTGCTGCGGGTCAGGGCTGGCTGCCTCAGAGCACGTGCCCTCCTGTTCACTTGTCATCAGAGATGTTAACATCTCTGATTAATTCTCAGACCCCTTATTTTATTCCCAATGTCTTTATTCTTGCTCTCCTGATCTGCTGCAGTGTGAAGATTCTTACCGACCTGCTACAGTAATCACCACCCACTAACCGCACCCCCCTAAACCTAGTGAAATTGTTTAGTGATGCCAACCGCGCTTTTAATTTGCAAGACATCAGACACAGAGGTAATTTATACCAACATCTGTTCATTTTTGACTTCTGAAACAAACTCACACATGCTGCAACAAAACCCATTAGGAACAGGGAGACAGCCTTCTGCTACTATGCCGCGCTCCTCTTCTACATATAAACACACACACACACACACACACACACACACACCCCTTCCAGTAGGGTTTTATATGTAAATGCATTTTACTGAAAAAGTACATTTCAAATCTCTTTGGGGGAAAAATCTTTAGAGCTATCTGTGGCTTGCTTACAGGATCAGTGAAGATACTTCTATTTCCTCTGCCTGGCCCCATTCTTGCTTCCCAGTGCATATGGTTTGATATCATTCTCTATTTCATGGCTAACAAGATACATGAACCTCAGTTTGGCATTTCCCGTTTTTTTTTTTTTTTTTTTTTTTAAGATTTATTTATGCGGGCCCTCGCTGGTGGCGCAGCGGGTTAAAGCACTGCACTGAGAAGCTAAAGCCACTTCCGCATGAGTTCGATTCCCGCCTGCCCCGGAGGAGACCACATGGTGTGGCAGACCTCTCCTGACCCGCCCGCTGCTCCCCTCGGCAGTGTACTTCGTAGATCTGCCTGTTCTGCTCCCCACTCTGTCTCTGGTGAATCCTCTCACCCTCTGCATCTCTGGCCTGTACCCCAGTTCTATATGAATAAATAAATAAGTCTTAAAAAAAAAGATTTATTTATGCATATAGAACTGGGGTACAGGGCGGAGGTGCAGGGGCAGTGAAAGGATCCACCAGAGACAGAGCGGGGAGCAGATCGATGAAGTACACTGCTAAGGGGAGCAGCGGGCGGGTCAGGAGAGGTCTGCCAGGCCAAGTGGGTCACCTCCCTGGCCTGGAATCAAACTTGTGCTGAAGCTGCGGCGTCCAGCTTCATTCATAGTGCTGCGCTTTAACCTGTTGTGCCACCAGGGAGGGCCTAGCTTGGCATTTTTTTTTTTAAAGATTTATTTATTTATGCATACAGAACTGGGGTACAGGCCAGAGGCTCAGGGGCAGCGAGAGGCTTCACCAGAGACAGAGTGGGGAGCAGAACAGGCAGATCGACGAAGTACACTGCTGAGGGGAGCAGCGGGCGGGTCAGGAGAGGTCTGCCACGCCATGTGGTCACCTCCGGAGCAGGCGGGAATCGAACTCATGCAGAAGAGGCTCTAGATTCTCAGTGCTGGGCTTTAACTCGCTGCGCCACCAGGGAGGGACCTAGCTTGGCATTTTTAATTCTCCCCTTCTCTCCTGGCTCTTCCACAGTAAGTGAAGGCAGAGGACAAGTCTAGAGATAATATGAATGCTGGGAGGAGTTTCAGATTGAGTCAATAAGTTTGTTAACTATTTTCTAGTACTGGATTAATTCTCTAGAATTCAAGGCTCAACAGGAAGGCAACACTGCCACCACATTCTAATAACTGCCAGGAGCCCACTGGTCATCAGCCACTGCAGAGTAAACTGGGCTGAAGGGAGACTGGCCTCCATGTCAAGTCATGACTTATAGCCCCCTCCTGCGCAGTGTCCAGCCCATAAGCTAAGAAAGCCAGAGACTGTGACATAGGATGGACGTGTGAGCTGCTTCAGGGAGTGGGAGAGCAGGGCCATTGCACACAAAG